CCCCAAAACCCCAAAACCCCAAAACCCCATCTTTGATTTTACAGCAAGGATTGAGAATATTAAGATTTTCAAATGAGATTCGCTTAATTACAGTAACTTAAATTAGAAATAGAATAAATAAGTATATTAAGTATTTACTTTTTTAAACTTTCAGTATAATCAAATAATAATACAACACAGCTAATTCAAACCTTCTATCGAAAACTATTAAATATGAGAGACATTTCTTTAAAAACAGACATCCTCAACTCTATCGAATAAATCAAAGATAAAGTTCATGAAAATCAAGTGAAGAAAACAATTTTCAATGTAACTAAAGCCAGACCCTCATTAGCTGATGGATTAAAAAATGAGTAGTCTAATACTGAACTAAACAATTTTCCAAAGCCTATTTTAGATGCTGGCAAATAAATAGATATCCAAACCTTGTTCTTCAACATTCCGAAATACTTATCGTCCAAGCACAAAAAATTGCTCAGAAAGATGCTATTGAAATATTGCTTAGATGAAGAAAATAGTCTACAGAAATTTCTCTAAGAACTGAAGCTGAATATGTCTGATCGCTAACTCTTAATTATTTTTAGAACTCTTGCTTAACTTATAAAATAAATAACTAAGCAAAAGATAAATCTCAAAAAGAAATTGAAAAGATAGCAGGAGATCTAAAGCGAATCAAATGATAATGAAATGAGCGATGATTCAAGTGAGGAAAATGATCATTCAGTTTAAATAGAAACTTTTAATAATCACCACACCTTAGATTTTTAAGGAGAGGGTCTTTTCAAAAAATATTAGAATCAGTAAAGAGACCTATCAGTAGCTTAGTTGCCAAAGCTTAAGGAATTGAGAAAAAAAGTAGGGGATTGTCCAATAATAGAATAAAATTCAAATGGCTAACACATTTTTTCTAGAATAGAAAAGGAAAGTAAATAATTCTCAAATTCACTTGAAGAAAATTTGATATTTGATTTCTCCAATTATAAGTATTAAATATGGAGATAGTAAAGAAGTTAAATTCAGCTATTGCCCGATTACAACTATTTTAAAGATCTACATGATAAAAATATTAATCATAATAACTCAGAGTAAATCTAGTTATGTTTAGATCATTGCTAATTTGAAGTTAATAATACATCTATTCTATTCGACAAGCGAAGATGTGGAATAAAAAGCAAACAAGAAGATAGTAGATAATTGGACTATATTCCATTTCCATTTTCAGAGTAAGATTAAGAGAAGTCTGATAATTTAGAAAAATATTAGCTGATAGTGGATAGAGTGTCAAGGATCTGAAATGTCACTTATATTCATATATATAAATAATGAGATTCAAAGGAAAAGGATTTTGATTGCTTTAAATTTAGATATTATGAAGAAAAAGATTATTTAAAAGAGAATTATGATAATTTTATTTTTGTTAATTTCCATATTTTCATCTGTTAATTTTTTTAAATAGACTTGAGCTCATGGGGTTTTGGGGTTTTGGGGG